CAGCTACCGTAAAAGTTTAATGTTAGCTAACTCGCAGAACTCTAGATAAGGTATTGGCGGTTTGAGCACTTCATGCTGTCGCTGGAAAACTTTATATAAGCCATGGCTTTAAAAAAACCCTCCCTGTGGAAATAATTAAATCTCCTTTTGCTAATGATGAGTTTTGCATCGTTCTTGGGAGCTTACAATCTAAGAACTCTACTTGGATAGTGTTGCCTGGTTGTGAAATGAGAAATGGTTGACTATCATAATTATTCCCTTCCCAGTTCTCAGAATGGCCAAATATCCTCCAAAGCATGGAGAAATTGGGTGAATGAAGTGAACTGAAGCCTGAGTGAACTGAACAGTGTGGTATATGGTAAAGGTGTTACAAAGCATGGGAAGACCCAGGTTCTGGTCCCCCGTCAGCCTCAGAAGCTCCCTGAGTGACTTTTGTTCAGCCCTTCTCTTTCAGCCTAACCCACATCACAGGATGGTTGTGGGGAAAATGGGAGAGAGTGCCCTCTATCCCATCTTGATTAAAAAGTGGGGTAGAAATCAAACAAAGTGTGTGCCCCAAAAATGTGAGGCTGCCATTCCTTAATTGCTGAAATGTGTCCTTCGCCTTCTGTCTGCAGACATCAGCCAGGGATCATGGCATTTTGATATCCAAGTTTGATATACTAGCTTCTCCTGTTAAAGGCACAAGAACAGGCTTGGCGGTTTCTGGGTCGGTTGGCAACCTCTGGACAGAGAACAGAGTAGGACAATCACTGATCTGTAAAACCTGAAGGCAGCTGGTATAATTTCAAAAACAAGATTGAGATTAGGATCTTGGAAGAGGTATCTTGGGTGTTAAGTATTTGTAGCTGGACAGCTGATCCTGAGTCAGCCTGAATGACTTTGGTTCACCTACTCTCTAACCTATCTTGCAGGTATGTTGTGAGTCTAATGGGAAAGCAAGGGGGGACGTATGTATCTCACCTTAACTCTGTGATTTTTTCTCAGAAAAATCAGATTTTTTTCAGTCTGGCCAGTAGAATTCATGACCAGCCAAATCTGGGCAGTTGATTCAGATTTTGGAAGGGGTTGAAAGGAAAGGAATAGAGAAGCGCTAGACTTGTGCAGACTTTCTCTTCATCCGCAGAGTGCATTTTGGGGAAAGGGCAGAACCTCATAAAAAGTATGTGAGAAAAGTGGGCAGTCAAGGAGATTCTGTATATTTAGAGCCCCCGGGGAAAATGGCAGTGCTGCTTCTTGGAACAGCCATCCCTATCTTGGGGTTGAGACAGCAATTCCGCAGTATTTATGGCCCGTCAGCAATGCCTTGAAAGAACACCAGTTCTTTAAGAGTGCCTCCATTCATATTATTGGCCAGCGTCAAGGCATCATGTTAGAAAAGATAGATCAGTTGGATGCACCCAACTCTATGAAGCAAACCATGGTTTAATATGTTGGGTAAACACAGCCTCTGTCTGGTTCTTTCCACTCATGAGAAAGTAGAGTGCCAAGGCTTTTGCCCATGGACTAGCTATGCAGAAACAGAGGTTTCAGCAGGAGCAGCTGAGTGAATAAGGACAGAATTAGCCCAACTTGGAGGGATTCACAGAGCACATGATCAGTTAACCCTCATTGCCTGGTTCACACAACCAACTAAGATAGATTTGTATGAACCCAGCCTTTGAAAACCCTTCTCCCCCAGCTCCAGCATCTGAGAACACAGGTTTTCTTAACATGGTGTCTCTGACTTGTATTGAGCTGCGATCCCATAAAATTTGGTCAGTGTGCCCAGTGCCAGCTGGGGATGATGGGAGCCCTGGCCCAGCACACTTGATGCTGGGAAAGCTTGGGCTTCCTGGGAAAGCAAATCCTCCCCTTCCTGGTTCTTGGGGCAGTTTTTTCCTACCTGAATGTTATGCATATACAGTATATTCTGTCCATCCCCTTTGGCTCTTCACGCCCTCTGTCCAGACTGTTTCCTTCATTGCAAAACCTCTGGAATTTTTTGTTCTATTTGTCCTTCCTTTCTGCCTCCGGCACCCTCCTCCCCCCCACCCCCAAGAGCAAAAAATGTAAGACTGTTGATCTCACACCTTGAACCTGAAGCTGGAGTTAATCATTGATCTTGGATGGTAATTTAAAAATACATTTTCTGCTTGGCAGTGAGGATGCCTGGCACAGGAATGCACGATTTGCATTTAGAATGGCCAGGTAGAAGATTTGGTATTTCCAGATAAAACAGCAGAGCGATTGAGCAAATGTAGGTTTCTCTTTTATCCAATCAAAGGTACGTCCCTGGTCTTGTTTTCTGTGTCTTTGTGCAGCCTGCCAGCCAGGTGCTTTGCCACAACAGGCCCTGAAGG